CCCATACTTTGCTTTGATTTTTAATAAAAAAAAAACAACGAATTTGATTTTGTAGGAGGCCACAATCAGCTAAAAGCAAATTAAAAACCGTATCCTGTGAAGATATTAATTATAACAGTCGCCCGATGTGGGGCTCGAACCCACGACCCTGGGATTAAGAGTCCCATGCTCTACCGACTGAGCTAACCGGGCAGATATTTTCTGAAAAGTAGATGAACAAATTTGTTTTAACATTATTGAAGACGCAAAAAACTGTTGCATAAAAATACTTGCGGTCGCCCAATGTGGGGCTCGAACCCACGACCCTGGGATTAAGAGTCCCATGCTCTACCGTCTGAGCTAACCGGACTGGCGTTGTTTTGTTTAATCGATGAACCAAACTGTTCCTGTCGAAAATTGTGTTTGCTGAAGAAAAAAATCCCGCAACATGCCCATCGCCTGATTGTTTGAGAAGCACTGTGTAATACAATTCTCGCAAAATTGTTACAGCTGGTGCTGGCAGGTATTAATTTAACTTGCCGTATCCATTGTAGGGTTGGAAAAGTATACGTAGTGTGCAAGACTCGTACAGAATGAGTGTCTTCCCCTTTTTTCGAGACGACAAAATCAGACGTGGTTTACACAACCTCACACTGAGCTTCCGTCTCGTCTTCGACGCGTAGAAGGGAAAAACTTTCTCATGTTCCTCCCGTCTGAGACGGACCCCCAATTGCAACTCGTGATCGAAACTCAGGAAATGAATATGTCCCGCGCACGGGCCCGCCGGCGGGAGCTTCGGGCATACGCGGTTGGGGGCACGAGCTCCGTAGTCCCCCCCCTACCTCTCCCAGCGTGCGAGCCCCTGTAAATAAGTCGCTATACCGTTGCGCGGGCCCACTCTATCGCTTTACCCCTTGTGCTTCTCTTGCTTGGCGCGCTCCCTGTCTCCTGGGCTCGTCAATAAGTGAATTTCCGGTGCCTCGGCGAGGACCACCTGCCGTCTCCCGCTCATCCTTACCCTCATCCTGATCGTCTCGTCTTCATTATCTCCATCAGCCGAACCGGTTCGTCTCTCCAGCCCCGTGTCTATTCTTCACTGCGTCATCGCGTCTTTGTCGGGAACATTGTATCCAGCTAAATAATTCACATCCAAAACATCACCAGCGTTTCCTTCGTAACACTTGGCTACCCGTCTGAACAAAATCCTTGTGGTGACTAGGGTCAACATTGGGGCAGTGTAAGATATTTTGCTGTTTAAAATATTCTTTTATTGTCGTCATTGGGCCAGAAATTCTTCAATTGAAAATACTTATTTTCAAATGATTTATTTGCCTAAAACCTCAACGATTGAAATAAAAAAATCTCCAAATAATTTCCGTCAGTGGACTACTTGTTATTATTAAAAGAAATTGTGTGGTGAAGATTATATTTACAAATAGGTTATTTGGGAGACATTTTGTACTAAATTTTTCAGCATTAGGGAGACATTGGCTTTTAGGGAGACATTTCAATGTCTCCCTGTTTCCAAACTACCAGGAGGCTGAATTTCACTATCCAAATTTTTAGAGATGATAGATTAGGGTCTAAAATGAAAAGGTACAAAGTTTGGTTCGGATCAGGGAATATTGAATTATGGGACAGTAAAGTTGGAAAAATTTTGTGCACGTTCCTATGGGAATGTCTCCTAATAATTAGTACATGTGTTATCATTATTATTTATTCGACCTCAACACAAAACAACAAAATGTATGACAAGCACGTACAGTACAAAAGAAGTAAAATATTACAAATAGCAATTAGGGACCTACAGCAAAAAACAAAATGAAAACGACAAGAGAGTGAAAAACCAAGCGGGGGACACAACATACCCGTCTATAAACACGACAACGGAGGGGTGACTAGGCGAACATAGGCCGTGTCCGAAACGGGCTTCCAGTGCTACGGCTAGGTCTATTGTCTTCGCGTCTCCACGTACTTCCAATGGAGTGAAGACCAAGACCTAGCTCTAGACATCAGATTCGGATGCAGCCATAGACTACCAAATGTATGCAAGGGAGATGCATTTGGGTGTGTCGGGACCGAGAGCATGTGAACATGAGAGGTTAATCATAAAAAGGAATACACAGGCCGTGTCCGAAACGGGCTTCTAGATAGAACTACGTCTAGGTCTTTTGTTTGCGCGTTTCCACGCATTTCCAATGGAGCGAAGTCCTAGACCTAGCACTAGACAAGATATTCGGATGCAGCCACACATAACAAGAAAATACCACGGACGTACATAAAAAACATGGACTTGCAACGCCTTTGTATGAAGAAGAAGCCACCAGCGGCCATATTACCGAGCCGAATACAAATGCGTGGGTTGGCTCCCCTCTATTGACGTCAGGAAGAACAAAGGCGGGCATTGCCAGGAAAGCTTTGTATTCGGTTCGGTAAAATGGCAGCGAGTGGATTCAATGACTCTATAAGCTGATTAAGGGCATTGCGAGTCCAGATTTTATTATACACGTCCGTGGAAAATACCCACAAGAGAGTGTGAAAACCAAATCAAAACAAGACAATACTATGTCGGTCGGGGACAGCAAAAGTAAACTAAATTACTGTTGCTCAGAAGCATGTTGTCCCACATGTAGCAGGCAAGAAGACAACAAAAACATTCACGATACAAATGCAGGGGGAGAGGGAACTGATCAAGTTCCCTTATTCGCCTGCTCCAAGATCAGTAAAGGAATTTATGTCTTTAAGTTGCCGGAGAAATGTTGACAGAAGACAAACAGGGGCAGCATCCCAAAACCTTGAGAATCGTCGGGAAGGACAGTGGAATAACATGAACAGGTCTGTACGGGTGGGGAAGTGACGAACTGTAAGGCAAACTGGATAACGCGGGTTGACGACAGTGTTATTTTCAATGGATTCACAGTGTGCGATGCCGTATAAGACCATGACCACAGACGAAAAGAAATGTTTTGGTCAAGCGCATAGTGTGTTTAAGAAGGAGTAACTTAACCTTAAAACATGCCAGCCGGAGGTGGAATTCGCACCCCCCCTCCCAAATTTTTAAACAAAATGGAAGAGTATATCGCACTCCGATTTTGCCTGAACCTATTTTCATGAAATCCCTGTTCTGTTGAAAATTAAGCAACCCATCCCTCTGATTTGACACGCGTTGACAATTTATGTCCACAAAAAACACGAAAAAGGGGCCACTTGTCAACAGACCCTATCGACAAAATTTGAAGTTGAAGTAATAACGGTCATACGTGTGATATTTTCACCTGTTCGGACTGAAATCAAAATGAGGTCTCGCGCTTCACAGAATGCGCTTGGATGGATACGAGATATTGACGACAATCTCGATCTCACCATGCGCACTTCTAGTTCCTTGAATTCACAGCAGCGGTGTTGTGTTAGAATTAGGAAGGTGCGAAACAGATGCATTTGTGCCGGTATTAATAACAATGTAGGCTCTTGCGTATGATGCAAGATATGCGGCAAAGGGGTACCCCCCTCTATTGTGTCTTCTTTTGTGTTGATGGATCTTTTGAATTCCTTTCAAATTTCGGGGGGGGGGTGCAGTAGGCACAATGGCCTTAGGGTATACAGCTTGTGGGTCACATTAGGGGGTCCCCCTGTACCCCAAGTTGCTTCCAGGCTTCCAGACTTGGGCTATTTCTTCTGAGAAAGGGACATCCCTTGGTAAAAAAGGAAGACTGAGTGAGAAGAACAAAAAATAAAATAAAGTCGCCCGATGTGGGGCTCGAACCCACGACCCTGGGATTAAGAGTCCCATGCTCTACCGACTGAGCTAACCGGGCAGATGTTTTCT